CTTAACAGGAAAGCAAGCACAACACGCAAGAGAGTAGATAAAATTTATCAGGCTACGCACCGTACGAAGCAACTAGCACGAACAAGCCGAAAAGACCAATGAACACAAAGCTCGGGTACAATCTTCTTGTTCTTTTGTACAAGCTCGGATAAATTACTATTTACTCAACAGACAGATAAGTGATTAATTATAACCTATAAGGCTTTGAATTGTACAAAACAACTAGCACGAACAAGCCGAGAAGACCAATGAGCGCAAAACTCAGGTACAATCTCCTTGTTCTTTCGTACAAGCACAGATAGGCTAGAGTTAAATCAACAAACAATGAAAATGGATTAAAACTAAACCGGACAGAAATATTCACTACTTCGGAAAACAAGTATCCAACCAAAATGTTCTTCACCGGAAAGTTTATCCACGAATTAATAGATAGAAAATCAAAACTCAACACGGGAATAAATTTAAACCAGAAAGAAGTATTTACTACTTCGGACAACAAGTATCCAAACAAAATATTCTCAACCGGAAAATTAATCCATGAACCAACTAACAAGTAATCACAATTAAATCTAAATGTGATTAAATTTTTAACCGGACAGAAATATTTACAACTTCGGACAATAAATATCCGAACAAAATATTCTTAACCGGCAAAATTAATCAATGATTCAAACAAGCAATTAATCGCAATTCAACTTCAAAAATTAAAATGAATCAACAATCAATAACTACACAAAGGATTAAGATTAAGCAAATGTACCTGGGGCCGGGCACAGCCGGCGTCCTAGACCACGTAGGTCAGCAGCGGGGTACGGGGAAAAAACTAATTTGATGGCACTCTGGTACACCAAGTAGAGTTAAAGCCAATTTACCTGAGCGGGACCCAAGGTTGGGTTACCCGACTTACCGTAGGCAGCGTGGGCTGCTGTAGGACACGACAGCAGAAGCTTGACAGCGGCAGTGGTGCTCCCTGGCAGCGGCAGAAACTAGACCGAGGCGGCACCTCACTCGGACAGCTGCTTGGGCTCCGGAAGAACAATGGACCAACGCTTCTGGGCGCTGGAAGAACACTTGACGATGAAGCTGGCTACTGCAGCACCTCTGGTGATGGCAGGTGGCGGCAGCGATGCGGCGGCGCGGCGGCGGATGGCGGCAGACGACTCCCGGCTCTTATACCAGTGTAATGTTCCAGCTCAGGTCTCCAATTTCATCCACAAAGGATGATAATTCCACTATAGTCTCAAAGAGAAGGATTGGAATTAGATATGGTAACTTACCATAGTAGGAGATACGTAGTTCCCGTTAAAAGAAGGAAAGGATTCCGCAGGGTGAAGAAGAACGGCGTTGTGCAGACCATCAGACAAACAAGGCATGGGTTGGGTAAATCCAAGGCTAAACGAGTTGGAACCTCCTCAAGTGCAATTGGGCTTAAAGAAATGTCGGGCCAATACCAACATTGCATTTGGAAGACCTATATCCCACCACTTTGCTTCGTAAGTTTTCGTTTACCGCTTGGGTTGGCTTTCGAAATCGTCTAGCAACTTACGATTACCTTGGATGTTTTGAATTTGTTAACATTTGTCATTCTTGCAAGGGTGAATCGGAGACGGTACCGCTCCTATTTTTTGCTTTCCAATTTTCAAGAGCCATTTGGAGAAAAGTATGTGATTGGATTGAAATGCCTAGACAGATGTCTACACTAGCTAGCTCGGTTAAATGGATCAAGAAAGACCATGTAGGTCAGTAGGTGTTGGAATCAAAGCAAAGGCAGTCCACATTGCTTTCATCTACACCATCTACCGGCTATGGAGAGTGAGAAATGCGACAAAATTTTATGGAACCACGCCAAGAGAGGAGACTATACTTGCTAGGATCAAATACATTGTGTATAAGATCGTTTATAACATATACCTTCATGAACTGATCGCTTTTCGATAAATTAGCCATGCCCCATCACCTATTTTGTGCTTGGCCGTGAGGGAGTTTATTTTGTAGAGTTTTTGAGGTGATGGGTTATCCTTTCTATGGATAGTCCCGTTTTTGCTACCAATTTTTATATGTACATATAAACTCTTTGGATGGTTTTTATATATACTTACATTTCACCCAAAAAAACAAGTAGCATAGCTGCATAGGAATGTTGTCGAACTAACTATGCAATTATTCGTAATAATCTAAAGAGTTTTTTCAAAAATATTATTCGTAATAATCTAAAGAGTTTTTTCAAAAATATTAATACAATAAAACTAAATTACACAATATGATTAATAGTTATTACGATGTCATTGTAGTACAGGCCAGGCCGAGGGAGCATTTGCCAATTGTCATTACAGTTCAATAAACTAGTATTCCACCTGTGCGTTGCACGGGGTGTAAGATACAAATATTATAAGTATACAAAAATCATTCTACCTTTAAATGAAATTAAAGATTATATTATAATTTATCACGGGAATGAAAGTAACGACTAATAAATACATAATAAAAAATATTTAGAATTTAATAAGTATACAATTTTACAAATTATTGAAAACTTCTTTGTAGACAACATTTTTTGCGGTCTTTTTCCTATTTCCCTCGTCGTCGCATATCACGAACTTCAATCCAGACGGACTCGTCACCCTCGAAACTGCAACATATAACTGCCCATGTGTAAAAACTGGTCGTCGTAGAAAAACGCCCACATTCTCTAACGATTGTCCTTGGCTCTTGTTCATTGTCATTGCATAGCTAACCATCAAGGGGAATTGCCTACGCATGAATGTGAAAGGTAGCCTCACATCTGTCGGGGTTAGATTAATCCTCGGGATAAGGAATTTCTCACCTGCATTAGTTCCAGACATCATCTGCGCCTCAATAATATGTTCACCAAGTTTTGTCACTAAAAGTCGGGTACCATTACACAAGCCGGCCGAATGATCTATATTCCTCATGAGCATCACCGGTACACTAACTTTTAGCTTCAACTCGTGACTTGGAACACCAGAACATTTTATGCCGTTAAGGGATTCAGGAGAATGAATTTCCTGAAGGAGGTCATTGTCTGAGGTTGAGGAACACGCTGAATCTGAACTGAAATATGTCTTTTCCTTTGAGCTGTTCAGCAGCAGCATGAAGTCATTGACCTTGTCTACCTCATCAATTGTCGGTGCAAGAATTGCTCTCCCTTCAAGATATGAGATGTTGTTCATGTTCTTCAAAAAATCTGGATAAGTAGCATTGACAATGGATGCAATGGGATCAGACATTTCTGGAACATGAAAATTTTCCGGTATATCAATTTCCGCTTCTCCATCTTCGCTCTCTCCTAAAACACCATCACCAATATGAAGTATCCAATCGGCAAAAAGCTTCAAAATTCTTGGATTGGTTGATTCATTTGTGAAGTTCTTGAGTCTCATGTTTTTTGTTAACTTCAACACCGTACAATACTGCCACAAATGTGATGCATTCAAAGATGCATGAACAATATCATGTCTGGTGCCTTTAGGAATGACAGGCAACACTTGTCTAAAGTCTCCACCAAAAACAATTGTTTTTCCACCAAAAGGCAATTTTGGATTGCCATCATGAGAGCAAGAAAGTATATCTCTCATACTTCTATCTAGAGCTTCAAAGCAATGCCTGTTAAAACTTATATAAAAAAGGTAACAATAATACATTAGATTTATAGTATTAATACCCATTTGAACACATCAATTATGATAATTAAATATAATCTCTTAAAAGATGCAGTTAGTTCAAAAATGTTAATTTTATTAAAACATATTTAAAAAAAAAGAGAATAAAAGTTACAACAATGTAGTGTTGTGTACTCGCGACAACTCAATTGTAAAACTTGAATATAAGCTAACATTAATATTATGTTTGACTTCGTTTTAGAAATCAATCATAGAAATAATTTTAAAGGAAGTTTTCTAATGAAGAAATAAATACTCATCCAAACTATTATTTGGAGACACATAGATTGCTTGAGCCTTGTATAAATTGTTTTTTATTGAGAGTTTTCTAATGTAGGATGTTTTGAACCGATCTATTCTGCTTATGTCTGGTGTGTGTGATCTCGTCTAAATTGGTGTGGTCTGGAAAATGTCTGATCAATTTGTATTCCATAGTAATTCGTTCCTTCTAATGTCATGTATAGAAACATGTCAAGAATGTCTATCTTAATACCCTCAAATCCTACTTCGTATTATAATGCAAAACATGAATTGATAACTATATATATCATTTTTGAAATCAAAATAAACCATCCACATACCTTTAAAAATTAACATACCCTAACTAATGAGATAAAAAAATCGATGTTTAAAACAAAAAGATTTAGATCATACCTGGCACGCCCTTTGTATGAAGTCATGTATGAAGAGATTTGAGTTTATGTTGGAATGAACTTGTAGAGAAGAGATATTTATATACAAAAGATTTCTCACTAAATTAGGAGGGATTAGTAGTTTACTTCCTTATATAGCAATATATAAAAATATGGCAAGATCTACCTACCATCTTAGTAGCCTAATAATGTTACTTTTAATGCATATTAATGGGTTTACTTATATAGGAGATTTCTTAATTGGTTCCATATATTTACAAAATATATGTGCATAATTTGGTTACGTTTTTTTAATTTGCAATTAATTAAAAAATGTATTTAGGTTTTCGAATTTTAATTTTACTGTTTAATTAATTAAATTTTTTTCATTTAGTAAGTTATCATTTATTGAAATATTTTTAATACATTGTAAATAAAAGAACCATACTTGAAGAACACTTTAATTGATCCACACGTATGATCACATATTGTTATAATGCTCTTTCTAAGAAAGAGATAAATAGTAAAAAAAATGCTATATTAATATTATTATTTATAACAATATGTGAAGTGTAAATATTCATATATGTCCTTGAACTTGCAATGAAACGAATTTAGAAAACTTAATACTTTGTAATTCAACCCCATTCAATATTAATATTAGCCATAATATTATCTTTGTATGTAAGTAGCATTAAAGTCAATATTCTTACTGTCTTACACACTCAAAATAACACTCATAAAATATCAAATGAAAATTCAATGGCATTGAGAAGTCTAAGATCAAAATTGTGTGAAACAATACGTGAACAAAAGTATAAAAGGCGGTACGAAATTAAATAGCAAATAATAATTCAATATCATGGCTTTTCAATCTTCCCGGGCTTAAGTTTCTTGTTGCTTGAGCCCTGTGTTGAGCCGTTGACATCACAAATGACTGCTTCTTCCGATTCTCGACATCGTCCACTTGATTTTGGAGTTCCTTTCCCATCAGTTTCAGTGTCTGAAATAACCTGAAAAAAAAAATTGTTTTGTAATTAGGTTAAAATGGTAATGTGCCTACTCTTAGAATGAAAATGGCCAGAATATAAAAATAATAGTAGAGGTTGTAATAATAATATTAAGAGAAAACAAACTGGATGTAAAAATAATAATACATATATAGAATTAAGGTATTACCACATTTGAGTCCATTGTCGGCACAGATTCAAAAAGCAATTCCAAATCTTCATCAGAATTGTACGCCTGTGGATAACTTTTATGTTTTAAAATGGATAAACATTTAATGAAACAACGATATATTAACATGTTTGAGGTATACTACCTCAGAACTCGTTCCCTCAGTGCCTGCTGCCAACTTGAATTGTTTTATTTTTTCTTTATCGCTCGATATCATGCCTATTACATAAACCTGTTCACCATAGTTAGAGTTTGTGCTTGCAGACTTGATTTTGAATAGATATTCTCGTCCAATCAATTCAGATATGACTTCAGGGCAGCTGATAGGTCTAAGTGTTGCCTACAAACAGTTAGTTGTTTGGATATTATATGTCACAATATATGAATATAAATATATTTTTAAACAAATAATTTAAAAATGAAGTACATAAGTGCCACATCGAGGTGTTCGTGGAGATCTCCTGCAGCCTTTCCAAGTAGTAGCCTTGCCTCCTCATCCCAGAACATTACATCGGCAAAAGTTGTCCCATGCCTGACTTTCATTTTCAAAGTGTATCGCCAAACACCCTCATCTCTACTTCTACCGCACTTGGTGCACACTACATCTTCTTCACGCAGTTTCTTACAACACTTTGCGTCGCTAAAACCAAAATAAGCCCAATTTCGTGAAGAAAATATTGCATGTATCACACCATAAAACCAGCATCCTCGGACCTGCTGCATTGAATATAAGCTTTGAGAAGAGATGTGTGTAATATGATGCGAGATAACTTTCGAGAAGCATATAATTGACTAAATTGACTAAAGTAGAAAACTTATGAGAGGATTGAAAACACAAATCGGCTAAAATTGTCTAAGTTACTAAAAACCGTAGACATTGTTCTTTGCTACTAATTTCCTGATATGAACAGTTCATCAAACAACTTATAAGCTTTGGTAGGCCTAGATCTCATGTAAAAGTGGAGAAAAAATAGCAACAACTATAACTTAATTTCTACCTTGGGTTTTATCATCTCAAATGGATATACTACATTTCATTTACGGAACTTTTAAGAGTTTTAAATATAAAATGCAAAATACCAAAACACGTAAAGAACTAACACATCTGCTAGGTTAAGAAAAATTTCAGAAAAGTACATCCCTCCAACTTGTTTAAGTTTTCATGTTTGTGCTTTTCCTTCAGAAAACAATCAGCATCTTGCAGAATGTACTACTATTATAGGAGCTCAATAACCTATTGTCCATATTTAGAGTTTTTAAAACATACATTATCACTCCCAGGAAAGTGAGAGAGACTTGTTATACATTGCAAGCCTAGATGTATATCCCAATTTCAGCCAATCTGTTCTGAAATTTCCGGAGAAGAAAAGCTAAAGATTCGGGCATCCCTTCAAATTGTAATTATATCCTCCATTTCAACGTGGCTGCTAGAGTTTGGTTTCTGTTTTTTTAGAACTACAGTTTTACATCAACTCTATTATTTCTATCTAACAGAATCTATGAAGAAAATTCTGCATTTTTCTTCTCTTGCACAAACTATATTCTGAATTTTAAGTTTTGATTAAAGTTATGGCTGCGGAACTTTAAGTTTTGATCAAGTGAATGGCAGAGAAAGAGCCAGCAGAGTCTTTGTTGCCATTCTGATGTGCACTCGTCGTTAGGTGCACTCAAAATAAATAATCAATACAACACTAATACGTAGTATAGTGTAGTAAGGTTCGTATCCACAGGGAAAGGAATACTTTTCTTTTATAAAAGTAGTAACAAAGGGGGGTTTAGATTTGCTTGTTTTAACAACACTAAGATAAACAACCTATATGAGTTTAATTCAATGAGATGAAGACTTGGTTTTGCTTTTATCCACTTAATGAAATGTTCGTCGATCCTGGTTATATCTTTAACTATCTTCCTCTCGAATACTCAATCGAGGAGTATATCCAGTTCATCGAGGGTAGTTATTAATAACGAGATGCGTTCATTAATAAAACTTACTATCGAGTCAATATAGAACAAGCGCCGTATATTAACTTGATAGTAGCAATAAACTTAAGATTGAGATTGATAACCTCAACACAAGCGGTTTATTGGTTTAATCAATATAATTAATTCCCCTTGGGATATTAACCATGAGATGCATGCATTAATATTCCAAGTTTACTACCGTTGAAAGAACCGGATTAATAACAAGCGTATTAACCGATTGATTCTAGTAATAATTAATATGAGAAACAATACTAGTTGATACTTTAAGTAATGTTTAAGATATTAACATGAAATATGAATAGGAATTAATTAATACTCAAGGAAGAATATTAAAATATATGAATCCTACTATGATTAATATCAAGATGTTAACTAATTGTCATCTTAGTAACACTCCCCAATATTATCATAGAGGAAGAAATAGCTATTACTATAACCAATGTCAAGATGTTAACTAATTGTCATCTTAGTAACACTCCCCAACCTTGATATAGAGATAGTATTTTGAAAGAAAGAATTAATATTCAAGGAAGAAAATTAAAGAAAATAACTCACAACTTACAAATTCATTAAGCTTCAAAGTAGCAAAACCAAGATGGAAGAGTTTAGCTCCTCATTTGGAGACTAAACATGATGAAAAATATAAAGAAAGAGCTATTCTATACCGAGCTTAGATATACAAAGGAATTGGATGCCTTTTTGTGAAGGAAAGGAGGTGTATTTATAGGCTTTTGGGATGGGATTCGGGTACTCGATCGGGTATATATATGGTACCCGATCGAGTATGTGTGTAACACCCGATCCGAGGTATACTCGACCGGTTTCAGGGTATTTTCTAAGAGTATACCCGATCGAGTATATATAAATACCCGGTCGAGTATGCTTAGAAAATGGTATTCGAACCATACTCGACCGAAATTCTTTTGAAATTCAAAGGCATACCCGATCGGGTATGTCGGTCTACCCGATCGGGTATAGACATAAAATCGTGGCCGAAATCCTCCCTGCATGTTCCCTTGTCTTCGGATCTGATCCGATTTGAAGTTCCAACCTAATACCCGATCGAGTATAGCTAATACTCGACCGAGTATAGACCAAAATTCAGGATCTTCTTTTGTCTTTGAACTTTTGCACCTCCTTTTCACTTTTTGGGTTCACCAACTGTACTTCGAGTGACCAAAACCTGCTTGAGCTCAGAATAAATCTAATCTAACCTATTTACAAGAATTTAACAATCTAATCTATTACACCAAAAGTGTGTAATTTTCAAAGTAAAAGTCAAGCAAAACTAATTAAAAACGTAAACATAAATATGGAAATTACGAACGTATCAACTCCCCCACATTTAAACCTTTACTCGTCTCGAGTAATATCAAATGTTTACAAGTGTCAATGTTTGTCCAAAAGTTCCACAGTTCAACAAAAACACAATACAAACACAAAGACCACCAAGGATGACAAAGAAAAATGAGTTTTAAACTCAAATTACAAAAGAGCATCATTGGGTTTAATGGCCTCCTAGTGTTATCTTCTTTTCTCCTCCTCTCTTCTTATTTATCTTGAATCTTCTTATTCTTCACAAGGATACAATGAGTGCCTGCAAGAACAAACATTTCTCTCATATCTCTCATTTTGCCTAGGAGCCTTTTCAGGTTTTCATCCTAGCACCTCTTTTCATTTTCCATTCTCTCCAACTCACTCATTTTTTTATAAGCCTTTTTTGCTTAGATTGCCCATTTTGTTGGTTTTTCAACCTAACTAGCATTTATTTTCTTTTGTTTATTTTTTTTTTGTTTTTTTGTGAAAAAGTTCAAAAGAATTACATGCATAGTGCTAGGTAGAAATGAAAATTACATACCATCATGAGTGTCTCCCCCGCACTTGAATCAAGCACTGTCCCTAGTGCCCGCCTTCTCCTCCATAGTAGCTCCCTCCAAAGCCGCTCCCTTGGCCACCATCTCCCATGTAAGTGTCCCCGCCATCTCCGCCATCGTACCCTCCACCCCTGGAGCCAGATCCTCCAAAGTTACCCCAATGAGTGGGGTCATACCATGAGGGTGGTAGAGGAGGGTTCGCCATGGTATGGAAGGATCCCTGCTGTGCCATAAAAGAGTACATAGGTCCGTAGAACCTATGTTGGTCTTCCTCATACCGATGTCTATCGGCCTCCCGGAGCTCCTCCGATCGTTGAAAGCCAACTCTTTGCTCATCCTCCAATCGTTGAAAACCGGCTCTTTGTTCCTCTTCTAATCGGTTGAGCCGGTTGTCCATTTGGGTTATTCCCGTGAGCAGTTGTTGTTGACCCTCCAGAAGTTGTTGAAAGAAGTCGGGTGGTGGAGGGTTTTGGCTTTGTTCTGGGAAGTCCTGGCTCATGGTTGGATGGCTATGGAGTTGCTCATAGGGCTCGTAATCGGGTTGGTTTTGGGGAGGTTCCTGTTCCGGTTCCTGGAGATGTGGTGGGAGGGCGTTTGGGAAGAGGTAATGTTGGTCCGCTCTTCCTGTTTTGAATTGGAGTTGGGGGAGTTTTGGGTTGGGCAAGAGGAAGTATTTGAGGGGTTTGGGGTGGATGTTCCAGTTGTACATATTTCTGGGCCATTCCTCACCATAAACGGTGTGTGAAAAAGATGTACAGCCTGAGTGGCCCAGCCAAGATATGTTCATCAAACAGTAGTCGGGTATAGGAGAGTCATCCGTATACCCGAACTTTGTGGCCAAGTGCATAATTACCCCGCCCACTACAATAGCACCCTTTGCCACGCTTTCCTTTTTGAGATGAGCCAACATAAGATTACATAGATTGAAATCTACGTGGATACGGAATAGGGCTACCGAGATGAGGCACACATCCCCCATCCTAGTGTGATGGTTGTTGGGACGTCCAAGTAAGGAGTTGGCAAGGAATTTCAAAAAGAGGCGTAGGACCAGATGTTGGACATGACTAATGTAGAGTTGGGAGGAGCTAAATTTAGTCTCCCCGGTCATCTTGGTCCATAGGGTGTGGCCGAAGGCGGTTTTGTCGGATATAGATTTTTGGTACGGGACCGGAATACCAAAGTGTTCGGCGAACTCAAGTTTTGTGATGGTGTGATTGTGATTAAACAATCGAAACCTGAGTTTATCATCCCTAAAGTCCTCTTCATTGTTCTCAAATTGCACAGAGCTTAGGAATTCATAGATAATTTTTTCATTTGAGTTGTATTGCATTTTGAAAATTTTATCCATGCTCAACTCATGAAAAAATTTCTTCATCATTT